ATATTTAATAAATTTTGATTAACTTCATAAATAAATATTACTTATTATTTTAAAAGTAAATGTTTGATGTTTGTCATTTTATTCATTGGGTTTGCATAATAAAAGTATATGTAATTGCTAATAACTAAATAACTATCAGTATTTGAATTAATTGGACTGAGCTTATATTTCCAATTATCTATTTCATTTCATAAGAAATTAATATTATTATCGGATTTATTATTAAAAATAATACAATAGTACAGTTAAACGAGAGATTTAAACCTATGCCTTGATTATTTATCTTATGAAATTAATGAACATCTAGGACAATTCACACACTCGAGGCATTTCACTGGAAAAGGTTCACTGATTTACTGATAGGACATTCAAATTGTATATAAAATGAAATCCACTCAATAGTTATAATTATTATACAATCGTTTTATGAGTATAATTACAAACCCATAACTAAAATCATGTATAAATTGGTTACTCTGGTGGTTCTCATTACAGTCTCGCAAACTTATGGTAAGCCTATACAAAAACAAACTTACGCTAGTGACTATTTTAATTTTGAGGTAATTAAAGGTAATAATAATTTTCAATTTATGACATTTCTAGGTGAGTCTGGTCTCTGTTCGTGGTATGACACACATCCCGGTGACGTCATAGAAAATGGAGAGGTTTTCAGCCAAAACACCTTTACGGCCGGCCATAAGTCCCTACGGATTGGGTCTATTGTAAGGGTGATGTGTAATGGGAAGATTGATATGGTTATTATCAATAGGAGACTAGTCATTGGCGGGAGTATACTGACTATGGACAGGGCTGCCGCTGAATTTTTCGGTATCATCGATAGTAAGCTCTGTCAGTGCACCGTTACTTCTGTTTGAGTCGACAGTTAATTGATCCTGCTACACGCCTAAAACCTTTTTGTATTTCAAATACAATTAATAGTTATCTATATAATAAAAAGTTAACAATTGTATTTAATATGACAAATTGCATTTTAAAAATATTTAAAGATTTATGATATTCTGAAAAATATTTTTGTATAAAGAATTTCTTTCCAAAATTGCCGATGTCATAATAATAATGATATATTGATAGTATATAATCAAAAATTAATTTTAAAAAATAATATTACTTGAAAACTTGTTAGAGATATACAAAATATAAATAATTTAATTTACTATTCGTTTTATAAAATGTTTATTTATTATAGCCATATTATTTAGTGTAATGATAATTTATAAATCATTAAAAAAATAATATGATTATTATAATTATTATAATAAAATAATAATTTTAAAATAATGATTAAATACTGAATTTTTAAAAATATATTAACACCAAAAAATAATAAATAAAATTATATTAATCATTATGATGTCATGGTAATAATCAGTGACCATTAAAAAATGATTAAAAACTATTATTTATAGTACAGTATAAGGACTTCAAACTAAAACAACTTGAAATAAGTGGAACTCAATTGTAATAATGATATTGTTTTTAGTAAAAATTATGAAAAGTTTTGTACTATTATATATGATATTGTATATAAAGTTTTAATTTCATTTAAACAATAGAAATATAAATGATTGTTTCCATAGGTTTACAATAGTGATCATCACTAATATTACGGTGTATTCATAAATATTGTATTATTTTAAAGAAATTATTTATCTGCTTAATAAATCTGTAAAATAATAATTATTCATATATACTCAGTATATATATTCAAAATTTAAATGAACATATTATTAATATAATTTTAAAATTTTCGAAACATTATTTATAAATGATTAGTTTGTATAAAACATAGATTTAATCGTTCATTATGGATAATTACAAATGTACATTATGATAAAAACTAGTATAATTTGGTTAAAAGGAATTCTTAACATTTATTTAATTTATATTAATAATTTATTTACTTATTTATTTTTTAGAGATGTCAGTAATTTAAAAAAGTTTAAAGTTTGTGAAATAATACCAGAAAATATGAAACAAGAGATTATATTATTACACGTTTTCAATGATTACAGTAAAAAACAAAATATATTATTTGTTACAAAACGCGACACCGTCTATAGGTTTGGCGGTAATGTAAATGGATGTCTAGGTTTAGGCCACAATACACCCGTCCAAAGACCACAACCTATTCCTGAAGTGAGTCATCAAAACATTCAACAATTCATTAATGGCACTGATTTTGTGCTGACTATCAATGATGTCAATCACGTTTATAGTTGGGGTCGCAATGATGCGGGTCAGTTAGGTAGAGATGTGACACCATTTATGGTTTTTTCAAAACCTATTAAAATCTCGTATTTTGATGAGAAAAATATAATTCAAATTAATTGTGGTCTATTTCACTCACTCGCCCTGAATACTAATGGACAAGTGTATGGATGGGGTTATAATAGTTTGGGACAAATTGGTTGTGGTTATAGGAGTCGTAGTATTTGTGAAATAATTGAAGTGAAATTTGAAAACAATTATAAAATCAAAACCATTTATTGCTATAATTACTGTTCATTTGCCATAACATCGGATGGACTTGTGTTCAGTTGGGGTTATAATAGAGACAATCAATTGGCACATAATATTACCGATGATTGCATATTAAGCCCACAATTGTATACAATAACGGATATTAAACATATTTGCATGACTGGTGTCTTAATTAGTTTACCTTGCGCATATTTCTTGACAAATAATGGATTATTATATTATTACAAATGCGGAGAAAAAATAATTGTAATTAAGAAAATTGATGAAAATCATAAAATTCAACAATTTCCTCAAATTGATTCATTCTGTTTGACAAAATGTATTTTTGTAAAAGACGAAAATATATGAACTTGGTGAATTACGGGAATTGATTGAAACCCAACACGTTAGGTTTTGTGATTATTTTGCTGATCGATACAAAATATCATACAATACACTAATCATAAGTGAAAGTTATAAACACACATTTATCCAATTGTGTGGCATAGGAACGGGTGGTTTTGGAATGGTTTATAAGGCTCAACATAAAAGGAAGAAAAAAATGTATGCTATAAAAATTCAAAACATAATGGTGAGGTTTATAAATATATATTAGTAATTTAGTTTTATATTGATTTTATTTTATTAGATTTTAATGAATACCAAACCCTTAACGCATCTAAAGAGTCAGAAAATCTTTTAAGAGTTCAGTCGGAATATGTGGTGAAGTATTTCCACACGTGGAGTGAAGGGAACTGTATTTATATTCAAATGGAGTTATGTTCACAAAGCCTTCGCAATATTATTGAAATCAAACCACAAGTATTTGGTCGACAATTAGGGCATTCCATGGATTGTGTCGAGTATTTCATTTCGTCTGAAATATTCCGTCAGATCTTCAGTGAGTGTTCAGTATTTGCATGAATTGAATCCACAGATCATTTTAGACATTATAGTTTTTCGAGAAAATATTTTTAAAAAACAATTTTTAATCTAATTGATCACAGATGGATAATGTTTAATGGGTTTAACACCAGAAATGCTGAGGAATAGGTAGTTTGACTATATAAAAATAAATATTATAATTTTGAGTATAAAAAATTAATACAAAATGGATCATACTCATCCACAGATCATTCACAGAGACCTCAAACCCGACAATATATTAATAGCTGATAATGTCAAAAATGGTAGATTTATTAAGTTATGTGACTTTGGTTTGGCTACAGTTCACGACAAACGCGTTCACTACAGGACTACCCAAAAACATACGGCAGATGTGGGAGACATGAAATATATGGCACCAGAAGTATCTCAGGGACAGAAATACGGACATAAATCAGATATTTATAGTTTGTCACTAATTGGGGGTGAATTGTTTGACGTGAATTTAAATGATGTTGATTTGGATGAGTATGATCCATTTTGTATTAATTTTTTATACTCAAAATTATAATATTTATTTTTATATAGTCAAACTACCTATTCCTCAGCATTTCTGGTGTTAAACCCATCGGTAGTTCAGTTGCTAACTGTATTTGAGTCAATGTATACACAGAAGTGGCGAAAAAGACCCGAATGTAGGGAAGTGTTGACTAATTATAATGAGTGGGCCATTGATAAAAATATTGTAACAAATGACCCCGAGTTGACCAAAATATTAAATAACCTTAACATTTATACTAACAAATTTTTCTATAAATTCCTCAAAAATGTTTTGTCGTAACTATAAACACCAAGAAATAACATGCAGTACATGCTAACTTACATACAACCAAAATATGAGCTGTTATGAATAAATGAAATTAAATTATTTTTCAGCAAATTATGTTTATAAATTAATTGATATATAATTGGCAAACAGGTTAAAATGATATTGATAAACTTGTTAAAAAGATATAATTAATATTCAATTCGTTTTTATATATTTATTTAATTTTAGCTCACTAAGTGATAATGCATGATTTATATTAATTAGGGTAATAACAAATAAAGATTATGTATTATATGCTTACCTGAAATTCTTAAGCTACTTACCTAGGGTGCAGATTTAAAAACAAGGTTTTTGACAATTATCAAATTACCTGGTAAGGTGCTGAATAGGCATGGCAATTAATGTTAGTTTATTTATGGTTTTAAAATATAATTTAAAATTTTTATTTATATTTGTCTAATAAATATGATTTTTCAATACCAATTTAAAATTGTATATTTTCTAAATGATAAATATATTAATAGTCATTAGGTTTTCAACTTGGAATTAATATTTTATAAAAATTAAACAGTTTTACAAGATTTTTATTTAGCAAGTAATTTATTAAGTAAATTCATATTAAAAGTAAGTTTGTTAAATACAGTCTATGTATGACATCTATGAAAGAAATTACATTGTCGATATTTTTTTTAAATGGAATAAAATGGATCTTTATTAATCAAATAAATTCGCCACCCTTATACCACAAAAGTATCATAAGGGAAGCTCTCTATTACAAATTAATAAAAACAATAATTACTACATTAAAAATT